CGGTAGGGGAAGAGGCGGTAGTAGGGTACCGACTCGTCGAACGTGACGTCCTGAGAGGACAGAACACGGCGAGAGGTGGGGTGGTAGAACTGCCACCCAGGCGCGTCTGGGGGGAACCCCAAGAAGACGCAAGGAGCAGCACGAGGGGACAGTTTGTCCGCAGACAAGTCGCGGACAAACGCCCGAGATCCCCAGACCCGGAACGCCGACGCATCGCCCACCTTCCCGGTCCACAGCAAGGCTGGGGAGGTCTCCGGCCTGGAGACCCTGGGGTGAAGGTTGATCTGACGTGCCGCGTACCTCACCGCAAACGGCCACAGAAAATGGGGGGCAGCCGCATGCATCATAGACGTACGAGCGACGTCCATGACCATGCCAATGCGGCGCTCAGCAATCCCATTTTGCTGCGGAGAGTCCGGGAGCGTGAAGTTCTGACGGATGCCTCGTGCACGACAGTAGGCTCGCAGAAGGCCAGAGGAGAACTCTCCGCCTCTGTCCGAGTGCAGACGCAGAACAGGAAAGTCGGAGCCAAAGCTCTGCCTGAGCTGGAGACGAGCTGCGCGGATCCAGTCGATCAGCACCTCAGTGACATCACCCTTGCCGCGCAAGGGGAAGACTGCGGTGTAATGCGAGTAGTCGTCAACAACGAGCAGGAAGTAGCGCTCGTGACCCTGCCCACGGACGCGGGCTGGGCCCCACACGTCCATGTGGAGCGTCTGCAACGGGGCCTCTGTCGGAGGAAACTGGGAGGAGTGAGGGGCAGCACGCTGGCGCCCCTCGACACAGGGGACACAGGTAGGGCCAGGGCCCTGAGGAAGGGGAGGGAGGGACCGGGGGAGACCAGACACTAGAAGACGGGAGGCCATGCCTCTGAGCCGAAGCAGAGAGGGGTGACCAAGACGGTGGTGCCAGAGAAGAGTCTCGTGAGACAGGAGACGACAAGAACAGGGGGCAGACTCAGGACCAGACCTGGACGCAGCAGCAAACACCTGACCCGACGAAGCGACTCTACCAGACTCAGTAACGGGAGGAGACGCAGTGGTCAGTGTGTACAGGCTCGACCCCGGCTGACGGGTAAACGTAGCCAGGTGTCGGCCTGTGCGAGCCTCTGTACAGTGCGTCACCCGCAGACGCGCAGGAGTGAACTGGTGTACACCCGCATCCTGTAGGTCAGCACCACTCACCAGGTTCGTAGAGAACGAGGGGAGGTAGAGACCAGACAGGGTGCCAGAGGGAGCCGCCGGACACGGGAGGACTGTGGAGAAGCGAGACAGGACAGGACCCCCAGAGGGGTCAGCCAGAGACACTGCAACCGGTCGACTCAGCGGTGTGAGTGTGGTGCGGTCCCTAAAGAAGGAGCGAGACGCCCCAGAGTCAAGGGTGAAGGTGAGGGAGGCCGAAGCCGACGTAGTACCTGAGAGCGCAGACTCACCAGTACCTGAGGACGCAGACACACGAGCACCTAGGGCAGCAGCGTCGCAAGCACCTAGGGCAGCAGCCTCACCAGGACTTAGAGCAGCAGTCTCAATACCCGGATCGGGCGGGAAACACCGGTAACAGTCACCCCCATCACTAATAGACACAGCATACATGGCAGAGAGAATAGCATCAAAGTCAAGATCATAGATGGCAACACCCGCCCTAGACAGGTCACCCCAACGAGGGATCTCTGAGGCCTCCGGGAACTGGTGACGCCACGCGTCCGTCAGGCGGCCAAAGCAGCGCTGAGTGGGGTGGGGACCCCCACACTGCTCACCCGCACGGTCGCCGGTGCGCAAAACGTAGGAGCACGGACCAAAACCCCCACCTCGCTGACGCGCAGTGTACCACTCACGAAGCTGCTGAGGGGACAAGGTGTCACGACCACGCTGCTGCTGCTGGCGCGAGCCACCACCGGAGCCACTCCTCTGCGAAGACCCGCGACCAGCACCACCTCCACCCCCGCCGCCTCCTCCGCCTCCGCCGCCTCCGCTACTGCCGCCGCCTCCACCTCCGCCTCCGCCGCCGCCACCTCCGCCACCCCCACTCCCACTGCCACCGCCGCCGACACCTCCGCCTCCACTGCCGCCACCGACTCCTCCACCCCCACCTCCACTCCCACCGCCACCCCCACTCCCCCCCACTGCCGCCACCTACACCTCCACCGCCCCCGCTCGCTCCTCCAGCGCCCTTGCCCCCCTTGCCCTTGCCAGAGCGGCGTCTCCCACTAGGGGCAGACGCCACACCGACCGACTCAAGACCAAGGAGGTCGGCCGCAGCAGCAGAGGCAACAGAGGGCAGAAGGGGGGAGGGGGAACACCCCTCAAAGATGGGGGTGCGCGGGTCACCACGAGAGGCCCCTACAGCGACTATGCTCTTCTCGGCCGCTAGGAGGGACTTCTCGAGGAGGTCAACAGTGAGAGTGGTGGGACAGACAGAGAGAAAGTGGTCCCTGACTACGCGAAGGGAGTCAGGAAGGCGAGTGACTATGTAGTAAAGAGTGATGTACATGGGGGGGGGGTTCTTGGCGCAGAAGTCAGCAGGGAGTGCAGCGCGGTAGCGAGTGTCACTAGTGCGGAGGTGCGTAATGAGGTCAGCGACTGTGGGAAAGGCAGCAAGGTCAGGAAAGAGGTACGGTAGCATGAGACGGCTCAGTGCAGCAGTGGCAGGGGAGGAGTAGCGCGCAACTACAGCGTCGTACAAGGTCTGAGCACTCTTGTACTGACTAAAGTGTGCACGCTCGGAGGTAGGGAGGTGGCGACGCACAGCAAGACGTGCAGCAGCGTCGCGCGTGGCCCACTGGGAGCGAACAGTGGCGTCGGCGTCAGCAGCAGGGGCAGTGGAGGCGCCAGAGGTGAGGTCAAAGAGAGAGAGACCATCTGCCCTATCGCACTGTAAGAACAGCTGCAGGTCATCCACCCAGACCTCAAAGTCAATGGCCCGACCCTCAGCGTCAAAGACTAGAACACTAGGGGTAGCCATGACCCTAGACGACTGGCAGCGCAAACAGTAGGGTGAGGGCAGTGCAGTGAAAGGGCGCTGTGCTCACCAGACTGGACAGGTCGGGCGGCCCGGAAGGAGGGCGGCGCGGCGGCTCGGCGGCTCGGCTGCCGGGCGGCTCGGCGGCTCGGCGGCTCCGCTGCTGGGCGGCACGGCTGCTGGGCGGCTCGGCTGCTGGGCGGCTCGGCTGTTGAGCGGCTCGGCTGCTGGGCGGCTCGGCTGCTCTGCTGTCGGGCGGCTCGGTTGTGCTGCTGAGGGGCAGCACGGCTCGGGCTGCTCGGGCGGTGCGGGCGGCTCGGGCGGCTCGGGCGGCTCAGCTCCTCAGCGGCACAGGCGGCGTGGGGACCGAGACGGCGGCGCGCGGCTGGGACGGGCGGCGCACGGGCGGCGTGGGGCCGGGACTGCGGTGCGCGGCCGGGACGGGCGGCTCACGGGCGGCGTGGGGCCGGGACGGGCGGCGCGCGGGCGTCGAGGGGCCGGGACGGGCGGCGCGCGGGCGTCTAGGGGTCGGGCCGGGTGGCGCGCGGGCGTCTAGGGGCCGGGACGGGCGGCGCGTGGGCGTCGAGGGGCCGGGACGGGCGGCGCGCGGGCGTCTAGGGGCCGGGACGGGCGGCGCGCGGGCGTCTAGGGGCCGGGACGGGCGGCGCGCGGGCGTCTAGGGGCCGGGACGGGCGGCTCACGGGCGGCGAGGGGCCGGGACGGGCGGCGCGCGGGCGTCGAGGGGCCGGGACGGGCGGCGCGCGGGCGTCGAGGGGCCGGGACGGGCGGCGCGCGGGCGTCGAGGGGCCGGGACGGGCGGCGCGCGGGCGTCTAGGGGCCGGGACGGGCGGCGCGCGGGCGTCTAGGGGCCGGGACGGGCGGCGCGCGGGCGTCTAGGGGCCGGGACGGGCGGCGCGCGGGCGTCTAGGGGCCGGGACGGGCGGCGCGCGGGCATCTAGGGGCCGGGACGGGCGGCGCGCGGGCGTCTAGGGGCCGGGACGGGCGGCGCGCGGGCATCTAGGGGCCGGGACGGGCGGCGCGCGGGCGTCTAGGGGCCGGGCCGGGCGGCGCACGGGCGTCTAAGGGCCGTGACGGGCGGCTAAAGGGGCCACTAGGGGCCAAGAGAGAGGGGAGCGCGACTCGGGTAGGGGCAGAGTGCGCTCCGGGCAGGAAAAAAAAACGGTGGGCCCTAGGAACAGTTCCCACGAGGGAACCTGCTCGATACCATGAGAAGAATGAAGAACGAGGATGAATGAACTATGAATGAGGTGAGTACATATGGAAAACCCTAATTGGGTTGTACCCCCTATGGGATACCCCACTATAGCCTACACAACAGCATAAGCTATATAATGTTCTGACAGAACGGGACAGAATAGGAGACAGACATCAGGACGAAAAAAGTAGGCCAAAGTGAAAAAAACAAAACACCTGAAGCTGAATTAAACGAACCTCATAGACAAAACGCCATGGTGAGCCTCAGCCCTGACCCCCATGAGAGAGAGAGAGAGAGAGAGAGAGAGAGAGAGAGAGAGAGAGAGAGAGAGAGAGAGAGAGAGCAGTTGGTGGGAAGTAGCATAGTGAAGGGTTGGAGAGAAGAGACAAATGTATGGACGTGTTGAGCAGGTTTGTGCAAGAACAAAAGATAGATCTCGGAACAGCAGGTGGCTGCATTCTGTATCAGAGAATATAAAAAATCATTCAAGGTAGAAATTGTGGGCAACAATGCTCCACGACGTTTGCTGTTGTGTCGACATGCAAGGACTTGCCTGGATTGATGTTGACTGCTGCCCGTGAAGGAGGGGCACCTGTAGCAATTCAAGCACGCAAGGAGGGAATGAGACAAGGATGAAAAAGGGAAGATGTCAGAAGGTTTTGGATGATGGGTTGGCAAAGGCCAGCGTAGTATCCCTAGCGGGTTAGGCCAACACGTATAAGCAGCCTAGGGGGTTACCTCAAAGTAACGCAGTCAAGCTATTGGAACCTGCTGAGTGCTTGCCTGTATGCAAGGCAAAGATGAAGGCAGTGCACAATGAACCGTTTCACCGTGGCCTGGTGGATGCACCATGAAATGCCCCATCACTTCACTGTGGTGGGTGCACAGAGTCTTAGGTATCTGGTTGGCATGAAATATATATTGGGATCTCTCGGAACCACCAGAGCATCTGCCAGTTGTCAGTTTCGCACCTGTGCGCAGGGCAGAAAGGAGGACGGCACCAACCTGTGCGCAGGTAAGAGCTGAGGATGGCTTGAGTCATGAACGGCTTCACTGTGGTGGACGCCACGAAGCCAAAGTAGAACGCCCACGGCTCCCGCGGTCTTCCCTCTGGTGGTCCCGGCTGCAGCACCGCACACAGTGACAGCCGGGACTCTAGCAGTGGCTTCGCTGGCTTCACTGCTGTCGTTGCCAGGAACACCTGGATGGTGCCAGGGTCTCCAGGCATGTAGTCAACCCATGCCGTGTATGGCTTCTTGTTGGCGAGCGGGAACGGGGACTTCACAGCGGCGATTGATGTGTCCTGGCCATTGATATTCAGTCCCACGTGCGGGTCTTTCATGTTGCCATGCGGCTTGTTTTGAAGCACATCAAACTCTATCGCCATGCTTTGCTCGTCTATCCCACCGTACCCCACTCCAACATTGGTCCCCACTGTGTTGCTTGACGAGACCACAAAGGCAAAGCCGTTGGAAGCTGCCTTGGCTTTGGGTGGGAGGGCGAAGGTGAAGTTGACACTGAAGGCCAGCTCGAACCCACAGCCTGGGTACTCCCGTCCATTTTCGTACATGAAAAGGGGAACATTCGTCTTGGTGAACATTCCAATAGCCTCCGGTTTCAAACCGGTAGTGAGTACTGTTGACATTGGGAGGATCTTCATGTCAACTGGAGTGACATGGTTCGTTTCTGGAGATACGTAGTGAGGGATGGGAAAGAGCAGCCAAGGGGTGGAAATAAAAGTGAGTAGAAAATGAGTGTGAGAGATTGAAGGCAGGAAATCCTTAGAGCGACGGTATGCTGTATCTATATCAGAGCAGGGATAATGGGTTTTCATGCACGTGCACGTACATCAGTACCCCGTGACTTATATCCACCATAACATAGCCCCATTTACCATCAACAAGATAGTAGATCCCTCGAAACAGGTTGAACCCTGCATCGCACAAGCAGGTAGGCACCGAGTTAGGCCCATCGAGATAGAAGACCCCATGGCCGCTACACGTTGCAGCAGTGGATTCAGTTGATGTGCCACAAAACGCCCGGCATGCTGACTCGGAGCGTTGCGCTGGCTCATGTTCGTCTTCAGCCAGTTTGAAGCAGTTGACATTCAGTGAGTCTATGAGAGGAGGCAGAGTGCCTGAGAGGTAGTTGTATGAAAGCACAGCCACCACGCCAGCTGGTTTCACATGGGCGCCTGTGAAATAGTTGTGGGAGACGTCGCTGTGGGGGTGGAGCAATGGTGGGAGGACAGAGCAAAAAGACAGGGGTAGAGTGCAAGCTAGGCATTTCAGTGGTCCGGTACGCAATGATATGAAAATGAGTTTGATACCAAGTGTGGTATCAAGTGAGTACAGTGTGGTACCAAGTGTTGATAGAAACGTTCATGTAAGTTTACTATGCCACTGGGAGGACAGGGGATCATTCAAGGGCTGAAGATTGAAAGGGGGAGGGGGGGGGGGACGAGGGAAAGAGGGGGGGGGGAGTGCTATCAAACCACACAAAGTGCGAGCGGGTGCATACATCATGCAACTAAGTGTGTCTTACAAAGTATAGAGGTTTGTGAGCTAGGTGACTGCGCCTGGTATGCTTCCAAGTAGCTGGTTATTCGCAAAAGACCTGAGATCCACAACGCTGAAGGCATGGTGCAGGCGTGGTGCAGGCATGGTGCAGGCATGGTTAAGGGGACATGGTGACAGCATAGCATTTGACAGGCGCATGTCCATGCACATGTGAGGAGAGGAGAGGAGAACAGTTGAGAGGAGAGGAGATGAGAAGAGAAGAGAGGGGAGGTTGTGACTAAGCACTAGACAAGAACAGACCAAACTTGTGAGTAGTTCATAGGTTCCTCCTGTTGCCGCATGCCTATGGTGGCAAAAAACCTGGTGAAAAAACATGAGTGAACGGTGGTACAGTGTAAATATCTGGTGTTCTCAGCATAACAAGAGCTAAGAACGTTACCACTGTTGTGAGAAACCAAAACATGATATTGTATGCATATGGCTGAGCTCAGATAATCAACCCAGGAATGCAAGTTCACTCACAAATGCATTAGATTGACGAGGCTGCCAATTGCGGACGGAATCTTTCCAGTGAGCTCATTACTGCCAAGCCACCTGCACAGATACAATAACAACCGTAAACACAAACAATATGTCAGTAACATACACACAAACAAGTCAACGTGCAATTTCAGGATGCTCATGGTGACGACACTGATTTGTGTGGCCCAGTCACTGCTGCTTGGTTGCACGAATAGCTAATTCTGCAGTACCATTCTATCATCCAGGCGTGTTACCAAAACATGCATCACAAGAATGAAGTAGCAGAATTCCACACATTTTAATGCAGTGCATTTCGCTTTTGAAAGCACTGACTACTATCCATGGCCTCCCCACGTGATATGATGTTTATTCACACATGAGGAACAGCTCTTACTCTCCAGGGATTCGACTTACAGCTCCTGGATGTTTGTCAGTGCAGAGACACCTCCTGGAATAGACCCAGTCAGGTCGTTCTGCCTTAAATCCCTGCCACACAGAGAGAAGAAATGTTTTATGAAAGAAAAGAGAAGTATGGCTCAAAGAGAGAGCAGAGCGATGGGATTTTTTTCAGAACAAAATACGCAGAAACTGCAACATAATGGGATACAATCTGTCCAACCTGATAGGATAGCGCTTAGACGAGGGTTGGCAAGGGAAGATGCGTGCAAGTGAAGCACAAGGAGAACGAATCACAAAAAAAAATGACGTGGAAGAAATGGTGAGGAAAGGTTGGCTAGGCATGTGTGATAAGGTGAGAGAAGAACAAAATCAAGGCAGATAGTTTGTGTAGAGTGGGCTTACAGGTAGGTGAGATTGGTCGGGAAAAACAATTCCATAGGGATGGATCCAGACAGCATGTTAAAGGCCAAGTTCCTATCAGCAAGAGGAGCACATGGAGGGGTGGATAAGCATGAACTGCATGAGAAAATAATAGGTGTGCTTGTATACTGTAGAAATTCTGGCATTACCCGAACACTTGTGCAGCGTAGAGTCTAGTTACCACACGGTTTAGAGAGATATGGGGATAAACTGGAACAGACGAAAAGGAACTCTGGGTTCAGGGAAATTTGTGGCACCAGGAACCCTAGTGATGGTGGCAGCAGCTGCTGCGCACAAAGCCACAGAAGCAGCAGTCACAGAAGCATCACCAGCAGAAGTAGAATCAGAAAGAGCAGCAGCAGTAGCTTCTAGAGTGTATGGAAAGGAGTGCAGCGGGCATGGGGGATGGAACGGTGGCATTCTGGCACTCACAGCGTGATAAGACGTGTCAAGCTGTCAAGGACTGGAGGGATGGGCCCCAAGAACTGATTGCGGGACAGGTCCCTGAAGATTCATGAGGGAAATGGGGGATGGATGGATGGATGAAATTATGAACAAACGGTGAGTTGACCCATAAACAAGCGGATTGGGTGACGTTTTATAGGGTTGATGAGTCTACTTGATGGTGATGATGATGCTGGATTGATCATCTGTGATGGATTATATGCTTTGGAGCTTAAGCGTTTAGCGTTTGTATGCTAGCGTGTTCACGCTAAACGCGGAACGCTAGCAAAAACGCTATACGCAGCCCAGATTTTTTTCGGGGCTGCCCGCCTACCCACATTTTTTCGCATAGCTCAAAAGCAGCGGAATTGCACGACGAGCAATTCTGTGAACTCAGATTGCACGCCAAGTGTCTGCCGTGGCTGGAAATTGGATTCGTGACCTGGAGTCGCGTTTATCACCTTCACATTTTGCACGTTCAGAATTGCATGGTCAAGTATGTCGAGTCGCGCAAGCACGTTGCCACAATTCAATCGCTCTGCTTCACCGCATTCAAACACATCATCATGCTATTAAGCCACTCGTCAAAATGTCAATCTCATTTGGTTTAGGCCTCCCGCTAGCTAATTAGCATAGCACGCTCCTACGACTATGTCCTCCTCTCCATCTCCAACGTCGCCTTCCGTCCAGACTGTGGAGAGTGCGAGGGATCCTCCGGCTGCGTCACGGGAATACCTTCTTGATGTAGAACACCCAGTGTTTAAGCACTTCAGGCTCATCAAGCGGGAGGAGGGCAAGGCACAGCAGTACGAGTGCAAATACTGCCCCCTTGTCTTCTCTGGTGCCGCCATCCGTTGCGCTCAACACCTGACGTCATGGAAGACCATGAAGCGCCGGGAGGTGACACTTTGCAAGAATGCCCCGGCTGATGTTCGCCTCGCGATGAAGACCAAGTACGAGAAGCAGGCCGCAGTTGCAGAGGAGAGGCGGAGATCGACTGAGGCTGCGATTGCCTCGGGGACACCAGGTGGGAAGCGGTCCCGCATAACCAACTATCTCGCGGGCAACGCTGCATCGGCAAGATGCGAAGCACATCAGTCGCTTGCGCTGATGTTTGGGGGATGTCACATCCCGGAGCAGATCGTCGACCATCCTCTCTTCGTCAACGCAATCAGAGACGTCACCCGCGCCGGCGAAAACTATGTTCCACCAGGCCGGAAGTACATCGCCGGTAGCGGTCTTCAAGCATGCCGCAGTGGCATCGAAAGCGGGTTGGTGGGCATCAAAGCAAGCTGGAAAAAGGTTGGAGTAACTGTCGCGTCCGACATGATGACGGAAAAAAACGGGAGGCTGCAGGCAAATGTCTTCCTCGTTAACAACGCGGGCGCCGTGTTGCGTGTGTGCGTGGACTGCAACATGGAGAAGAAGATAGGGGGATACATTGCGGGGTTACTAAAGCCCGTGGTGGAGGAGGTGGGGGCGGAGAACATCGTCGCTTTTTGTACGGACGGCGGCTCCAACTACGCGGTTGCGTGCCAGATCTTGGTTGCAGAATGGCCCCACATTCAGATTGTCCCTTGTGCGACCCACGTCCTGGATCTCCTCATGGAGGATGTGGGGAAGCTTGGGTGGGCGAAAGGGGTGGTGGATCGGGCTGGGGAAATGAGTTCCTTCGTCCGCAACCACCATTGGACGCGGGGGTACTTGCGAACGCCGGAGCTGGTGGAGGGGACCGTGATGCAAGCGTTGAAGCCAGCGGGGACACGCTTCGGGACACAGTATATAGCTGTTTCCCGCCTGTGTGCCCTTCGTAATTCCCTTACCCAGATGGTGCTCTCCGACCTGTGGAAAGATTGGGCGGTGGGGGATCGAAAGAAAGCAGCGGAGGGGTTTGCTGCGCAGGTACTCGATGCGGCTTGGTGGAAGACCGCCAAGTTCTTCACGAAGCTCATAAAGCTCCCCTTCATCGCGATGCGGCAGACGGATGGGAGCGCAAAGGGGATGATGGGGCGAATGTACGACATAATGCTCCAACTTACCGAGGATGTGGAGGCCCTTGTTGACGCGGATGAGGAGCAGTTGTCCAGCACCGACAAGCAGCAGATCCGCCGCATCCTGAAAAACAGGTGGGACGGGAGTCTTGCATGTGCCATGCACGTGGCGGGACGCATCCTCAACCCTGCCAGCCAAGAGGAGGACATCTTCGGCGGGGATGCGGAATGCACAAGGGTGTTCAAGGCTTTCCTCTCCAAACATATGGAGTTCCTCACCGTGCGGGAGAAGGAGGGGGGTGATGAGTGCGACTATTTTCTCGCATTGGGGGACCAGCTGAGGTATTTCCTTGACCTCAAAGGGAGTTTCGGGATGCCTGAAGCCATTTCACAGAGGGAGAAGGTAAAGGCGGGCACTTACAGCATGGTTAAGTGGTGGCAGTGGAACGGGACGGATGCGCCGCAGCTGTCGTCGCTCGCCGTAAAGGTTCTCTCGCAGCCCGTCTCGGCATCTCCGTGTGAGCGTGGATGGTCGAAGTGGGAATCAGTCTACACTGCGCGACGGAACCGCCTCGGATCCGCTAAATGCCCGGATTTAGTGTACGTCACGCACAACTGGAACGTTGTGCGCGGATGGCACACGCCACATGAGGTGATGCCATCAGTTGTGCGCGGGAATGAGGTGGAGCCGCCCATCCCCGCTGGCTACAACATCGCGGGTGATATGGAGGAGGAGGAGGAAGGTGAGGACGAGGTCTTGGCAGATGAGTATGAGTAGTAGAAAGGGAACCCAGGTCAAGAAGGGGGTACATGTTGGTGATAGGTAGAGTAGACTAGGTAGTAGCGAGGCACATTGATGTTCTATGTATGGCCGTGCGAAAATTTTTGTGTGTGGGAAATTTTTCTGCAGAAACACATCCCACCAGAACCCCCCCTTACTTCACTCACGGAAGGTTTTTTTCCCTGCCCGGGAAAGTTTTTTAGCTGCCCAGAAAAGCGTATCCTGGATCAGACCCCACTCGCGTATATATGCTAAACGCGTATAATACATCATAGTTGATAATTGGATCCCACAAATGCTCATTTGAATTGCTCCTATGCTTGTTCTGCATCTATAATTCATCAAGGCACATGCTAGTTTCAAGTGAGAAAGCCATGCTCATTTGACTTACAGCGCTTGCCACATGAGCATGCGCTGTATGGCAGATGATATGAGCATGAAAGTGGCATCTTTCAACTCTAAACCCGAAAGCCACTCACCTCTCACATGTTTGGTCAAACAAGTCATTCACTCATCTCCCCACACACTCTCGTCTCCATCCCCCACCCCACATAATAGTTCTTTGCTAAGAAACTCACTCAACGCGGGCATGGCATGCTAGGGCACTATGTTCAGCACTTACAGGTAAGTCATTTTCATTGAGCCAAAGGCAGCAGGGATAGAGCTAGTGAGAATGTTATTCTGGAGATTCCTGTTGAGATATTCAGGGTAGAAACGCAAGCAGAGGATGCATAAAGCATGTGAAGGACACAAAACAAGAAAGTCCGAGAATGCTGAGATTTGGTGTCGGAAGGACTTGATATCTTTTCAAATATGTGACAATGATACAACCGTCTATTTGACCCTTACATATGTGTGTTATTTTTCTCATCCTCGATTCGCATGCGTTTCCTAGATCCTTTGTACTGTCCTAAGCTTGAATACAAGGGTATGCAAAAAAATCAATCAATATTGGATGCATTCTTATTTGAACAAATCAATCAATAAACTTACAGGCTTTGCAGTTGAGTGATCTCAAGGGGGATGCTGTTTGAGAGCTGGTTGAACGAGAGGTCACTGGGATGGATAAGCATGTAAGATAAAAATAGCTCAGATAAAATGACATTGCTAAGCACATTAGGTGGACCTCAGAGTGAATGAGGGAATTATTAAGAGACAGTAGACATTAGCAGCAGTAGCATCAGCAGGAGAACAAGCAAGATCAGCAGCAGCACCATCAGCTAGAGTGCATGGTAGTGAGTGCAGCGGGCATGGGGAATGGAACGGTGACATTCCGGCACTCACAGCGTGTCAAGACTTGTCAAGCTGTTAAGAAATGGAGGAATGGGTCCTGAGATCTGGTTGTGGGACGGGCCCCTGAAGAGTCGTGAGGGAAATGGGGGATGGATGGATGAAATGATGAACGATTGGTGGGCTGAACATTAACAAGCCGATTGGGTGACGTTGGATAGTTGGGTTGATGAGTCTACTTGATGGTGATGATGTTGATGTGCATTGATTGTTAACTCTGTGTAGGTGATCGGTATACTGACCAGTGACATGGTGAAAACAAAAGTGGCTGCAAAGAGGCTTTGGTTATAGGAGAAACAAAGAAGCAAACATGAGCATTCCGATTCATAAATCTACATTTACGATATCTAGATGTATCCTATCAAACCCCATTAACCCCTCTATCTCGGAGACAATTTTAGTTGTTGGATCTTACCTCAAGGCGATTTGCAAAGCCTATGCTACCACAAGATGTTCTTTCCCTGCACCGAAAGGTTTTAAGGAAAATGGATTCTACGAATGCAGACCTGCTGTGCGCATATGCTAATTTCAAGTGAGAACACCAACCAATAGGACTTACAGCGCTTCCAGGTTTGCAAGATTGGAGATATCCAAGGGGATTGAACCATTGAGCTGGTTGTTGCTGAGAGACCTGTGTTGATGGAAAAGCATTTGATAGGACCATGGCAATGGCAAAAAATGAGAGGGCATAGAGCGGAAAACAAGTGTGGCAAGATGCTTTATTTCCCTGCTTCAATGAAATTTCTCTACACACACACATGTTGGAGGAGAATGGGAGACGAGGGGAGACAAGGCGGGAAACAATAACTGGACAGAAACAAGTAGGACAGCTTCACTTCCCAATTCACACCGACATGACATCAGATATGCCCAGGCAACTATACATTGCTTGCCTGCATCCTGAGGTTTGAATATGAGTCATGATGGTAGCATGCTGGAAAGACCTCGAGTACTTGATTGAGTGCAGTGCAGGCAATAGCAGCTAAGGAAAGGATAGGAGTATCAGAAGCATAGCTTCTAGTAAATATTGCGTGCAGGTTCAAAGTGTAAGCCACTGGCGTCCCTTCTGTTTGGTTCAACACAAGTGATTCCCTCATCTCCCTACACACTCACATCTCCAACCCTGAAAAAAGGCGCTCACTCAATGCAAGCATGGCATGCAAGGATAACAATATGTTGAGCACTCACAGGAAAGTTAGATTCATTGAGCCAATGGCAGAAGTGATAGAGCCCGGGAGCTGGTTATTTTGGAGACGCCTGTTGAATTATTCATGGTAGAAACAAAAACAGAGGATGCTTGAAGTGATAGACACAAATCAAGGAAATTTGAGAAGGCTGAGATTTGGCATCAGAAGGGCAGTGATCGTGACAGTGATACGACCGTTGATTCGAACCTTGAGTAGCATGCTAGAGTCCTAGAAACTTTTGCTGGCTCCTACGCTGGTATCCTCAAAATGTAATAATATAATGTTCAATGCATTTGTATTTAAACAAATTACTTGAATTACTCACAAGCTTTGCAGTTGAGTGAGAGCACTGAGGGTACTGAAGATGCTCCTCGAGAGCTGGTTGTATGAGAGGTCACTGGGATGTACAAACATAGAAGAGGAATACTTCAGATAATTGACACTGCTAAGAAACTTGGGTGAACTGCAGAGCAAAGCACTTTCGGTCAAAAGACTGTAGACATGATCAATGATGAGGAACATAAACCAGTAAACGAGAAATGATGGAAAGAGAAAAGACTCATATATGACGACAGATAGTATTTTAGCATACCACTCTCCAGATTTTTTTTCGCAGGAGAGGCAGAGTAGGTATCACCTCACTGAATGTGAGATCTGATTTTAAGATTATGCAAAACCATGCACATTCCAAACTACTGCTAGCTCAAAGGAAGTGTCTTCGCTGAGAAGCCCACTTAAGGTGGGAATGGCATGCGGAGGAGTAAATGAACTCACAGGTAAGTCAGTTTCATTGAGCCAAAGGCGTCAGGGATAGAACCAGTTAGCAAGTTATGTTGGAGACACCTGTTGAGAAACTAGTGTTAGAGATGCAATCAGAAGATGCACAAAGGAAGTGTCGGACACAAAAATAGAGATTCTGAGAAGCCTGAGAGTTGGCACCGTTTGATATATGTTTTCAAGTTTGTGAGAGAGATACAACCGTTGAGTCGACACTGAAGTTTTTGTGCTATTGGTCAAGCTTGCGTAACATGTTGAGCTAGATTATTCTGCATGATACTGTCTTAATACCTTTTGTTTTAAGCTTGAATACAAAAGTTCTGCTCGGATTGCAAAAATATAGTGTTCATTGCATTTGTATTTGAGTGAAAGCTTTTTGTGTACTCACAAGCTTTGCAGTTGGGTGGGAGTGATGAAGGCGGGGATGCTTTCCGTGAGCTTGTTGAGTGAGAGGTCACTGGAATGTTGCAACAGGACATGTTGCAGATTATGACGCTGTTCAGCGGCTTAGGGAACAGCACAGTAAATGAGGGAACTACTAAGACAATGTAAACATGATAACGAATAAGGAGCATAGCTGGACAAAGAGAACAAATGAAATCAGAACGATTGAATGAGGCGATGAGGAGAGAGGAGGAAACTATCCTTATCAACCAGATACCCTGGGAGTTGGAACTTCGGTGTGTCTTTACTTCTTTGGCAAAATGGAATTGCGGCCACTTGCTAGTCACAGAGCTTACGTCAGGAAACTCAGTTACGTGGAAAGTATATCACCCCATCTCATGCAAGATTTGCAATTGGTACCATGCGGATTCATGCACAGTGCACAAGGCTGCTAGCTCACTGGAAGTAACTACTGTGAAGCCCAATCAAGGCGAGCATGACATGCAAGGGAAATACATTCAAAATCACTCACAAGAACTTCAGTTTTGTTGAGAAAAAGGCAGGGATAGAGCCAGTGAGTTGGTTATTCTGGAGACGCCTGTTGGAAATTAGCATCAGAAAGGACACAATGAAAGGTATTTATAAGAATTCATGACCATGATAGAAACTTTAAGTAGAGCCTGAGTGAGACGGCATGAAAGGTATTTACCTTTCTGTGCAACAAAATAGTTATGCTGGAGTGAGTGCAATCTACCGTCAGCCTGAACACAGAGGTTTAACACTCTAAGAATTAGTGAAGTACTATTACTCGTTGCTGGTCTATATAGTAGTTTTCACTATATGGACACATCATTCTATTGACTCACAAGATTTTCAGTTTTGAGAGCGGAGAAAAGCTCGTGAGAATGCTGTTCGAGAGCTGGTTGAATGAGAGGTCTATGGGATGTATAAACATGCAAGTGGCAATAGCTCAGACTACTGATACGGCCAAGCACCGGTGAACTGCACAGCCAATGAGGAAATTACGTGGAGAATTTGTATGCCAAATGGGTTACCGCCGATTTCTTAAACAAGAGTTTTGAAACGAGAATCACTACAGGTGTTCAAAAATATGCACCCACGTATTGAAACAATGAAACCTATTACGTGGTGCATTACTGGACTGTGACATGAGAAATGTGAAAACAAAAGTCGACAAACAGAAAAAAGGGACAGAGAAAACACTGAACGAGGTGATGAGGAAAAAGAAGGACACAAATATTGCTCTTACTCAGATATGGATGCTTGCTACTTCACACGGGATACATCTGCTGTGCAATATTTGCACAGACTCATGACACCCTAGCTGATCCTACCTGT